AAACATAAATGGGGCAGACATCCAGGCCACTGATATTCAAAAGCAGGCCATTTGAATATTTTGAATGTTAATTTTTTTTTTTACTTTTTCTTGTTTTTTTTTCGGACCGGAATTCATATTAGGTTCGCAGGTCAATAAAAATTTCAATACAACAAAAAATAGTCATACTACGAATAATCGTATTAATTAGCCATAATATCCGCTTTACCTCAGATTCGCGGATTTCAAGGAACTGTAATGGTTAATGTCAGTACGTAGAATGTCTGCCACTTTTTTTTTATTCAGGGGTTCTAATAAATCGGATGGACCCAATTACAACTACAACGAAATGATTAAACTAAACTGACTGAGCTAAAACCTTGTAGCTTAAAAACGCAAGACCGAACGAAAGAACGATAATTATGTTTGTGGTTTCTGTGTAAGTTAAGAAATTTAACTATCAAACTTGCTTCGACAGATCATTCTGTAATCTATACAAATAAAACATAATATTTTAAATACTTCATCAAACACAATAAGCTATTACAGTGTATACTCTTTATAACGAATTTCAAGGTTTTTTTATGTTATAGAGAGATTTCGTTATACGGACTGAAGAGAATTTTTTTTTAACCAATTACAATAATTTATATTTATAATAGATAGGTGACGATGGTGCGTTTAGTAAATAAAACCGAAATTTACTACTTAGATTACATATAAGAATAATGGCACACGTGTTAATGCAATAAACAATAACAAAGGCAAGAAGGCTGTTTATGACCAAATTTCGGCACCTCTGTAGGTTAGTTTTGTAACCTGGGTATAAAAAGAATTACACTTAAGTATGTTGTTGATGTCCAAGTATGAAAATATTTCTTCGTAATATAGAGTGTGTGTTACGTTAAGAAGAGTGAGTTAATTGGTTTTTGTATTTAACCAAACAAATTTCACTAATTTTTACGTTATAAAGATGTTTTCGATATAACGAATAACATTATAAAGAGTTTAGTCAGTAAGTTAATATTGTTTATTTAAAAGCTATTCTTTTGATATATTTTAAACGTAAATTTTTTGTGGCTATGATATTGAACCGGCTGGACCTGGTTTTGTTGTCCGTCTCCATCTCAATAGCAGAATAACTATTTACAAATTATAAAACTTATTTAAATAAAGGTTTCGAACCGACAAGATATATGCAAAATATTGGAATAATGATTAAAGATTTGAAAAATGTCTAATATATAAAATTCTCGTGTCGCGGTGTTTGTAGTTACAACTCCTCCGAAACGGCTTGACCGATTCTCATGAAATTTTGTGTGCATATTGGGTATGTCTGAGAATCGGAAAACATCTATTTTTCATCCCCCTAAATGTTAAGTAAAATATATCAAGCTACTTAAGACAATAAATCAAGGCACATACAAATAGCGGCACGAAACTCTAGCGCTGACCGTTATTGCGCAGAAGTAAAAAATAAGGTTCCTGAGGGGGGCTAGCGGGCGCGGGTAGCGTCGATTGGCTCTCCAGTCGCATAACGCATTCCGTCCCCCGCGCGACAGTACACATGCGCAGCAATCCCGTCCACGTATCGGCCAGCGCTAGACTTACGTGCCGCTGCCTATAGTAATGTTGAGTATTACTATCAGTGAACTTAATATTTATTTTGTATTCATTGTATTACTCTCATTATCATAAATCATAATATGTAACACGACATTCATTGACTGTTAGGCGGTACGTCTTCACATATAATTATCCAATCAGTGAAAACAAAATATTGTGAAAACTATTTTAAAAGAGAGTATGGAGTTTCTAGCCCATTATCCTCCATATGAAACTACCGTTAAGGGGCAACTAGTCATTTTTTTAAAAATATTTTTGAGTTTCAAATTGCTAATTGAAATTATTTGACTTGGACTACGAAGTTCGCCGGGTCAGCTAGTTCGAAATAAATTAAATAGTAATTAATAGAAATATGAACATTATATGCGTCTACATCACAGTTGTAGTTTCATAGAAATAATTTTCATTTTAGTTACTGCGCTATTGCATTGGAGCGTCTATCTTTGCCGCCCGCGGAGTCATTAAACGCAGCGCGGTACGGCAACCTCGCACATATTCACTGGAAGCGAGTGGTTGTCCTCTACACGTTGCGTCTCGCTCTGGCACCGCTTGTTGAAACACTTATATTGTTGGATCGACTTTATTACATGATTGAACATGGTGAGGTTTAAAAACATATTTTTACATACATTCATTTTTGAAGAATAAATCAAACCTTAATTTATAATATGTTCATAATTCTGAATGAGACCTTATTAAGATTCTGAGTAATTAGACCTTCTTGTATACGTATTATAAATTGTATATGGGAGCGTTCAAGTAGCGTCACGCAATTTTTGGAGATTATTGACCCCCGCCCCCCCATGTAACGCGCCGTTACGTATTTCTGTACTCAAGTATTGTAAGACGTTTCGTGACCACGACCAAGTGACTCTTTATATCTAAAAGTTACCATTATGTGGTGTAAAGTACTGGAAAGTCGAAAATAACATTAACAATAAAGCGTAAGTCAATCCCGGCCCCGTATCGTAACGTTTTACAAAAGGAAAAAACATTCGTTGCGTAATACTTGAACGCTCCCTTATGATTCTGAGTAATTAGACCTTATAGTATGAGGCAACAGATATAAATTTTCATATAAAGAAAGTATTTTTTAATACATAACATTTATTAAAATTTAATACACATTATACATTGCATATAATACATATGTTGCACACAATTCTATACATGATATTAAGTAAATACTAAAACGCAATTGGCACAATACGTGTAATTTATTAAATAAATTTATATTTTGGAATGCATTGAAAATAATTGTGTTACGAGACATCGTAATTTTTTATTGACGCGGAATGCTTTAAGATTTTGAATTCTTAATACATATTGTTATTTCTTAATTTTGCTAACAAAATATAATCTTTTGTAAATGATGTACTCGACTGACAGGACTGGAAATTGCATTCTTACTATTTCCGCATTCTTTTATTAAACTTTAAAAGTAAAGAAATATTAATTCAAATTTGAAATAATAGATTTTTTAAAGGATTAATTATAGACTAGTTTGAATATGTAATCTTTTATCAATTCTGACAATTAAAAAACTTAAAGCATATAAATATAAAATAAAAAATCTATCTTTTTGGTTTCAGGTATTCACTGCGAGATACATGCAGTGTTTGATCCAAATATTTCGCCGAGGAATCACATAATGATTGGAAAAAAATTGTAGCTTAAATGTATAATAAAATTGTTTACAAAAATATTATTTTTATTATACTTAATTGTCACTAAAGCCACACATGACATTTATTTTGGTGTTATACAGTTATGACTAAAATTGGTCAAGATCTGACAAAAATGATTACATGAATTATACTATTATTAAGCACTCAATCGCATAAACCTACTAAAATTATTAAAAAAAAACAGGTGATATAATATATTTAGACCTTAATATACATCTCGGTGTTTTTTATAAGATATAGAAAAATTTGGTGCGAAAAACTGATGTTGCTCAAATAGTGTGGTTTTCAAGTTTATAATAGCCGAACTAAGAGTCGTATTTTTAATCGTAAATTAATAACTTTATTATATTTTACTCATTCATAAAAACTAAATCAGTCACATTATATGCTTATAATTACTGTAATAATCTGTATCATCATAAATATGATTTGTCAAAAGAAATGAGTTTTCAATTTTATTTGTAGTTAGGGGCAACTTGAAGAGGTAGGTACAGAGCATTATAAAGATATTTTTTTGGAGATAAGTGGGGTGGACCTTTTAATAATTAAATTGTAATAAAAGTATCTGTAAACTCTAAAGTAACGACTCTGAGTACGGGCATAAGATATTTAAAGAAATGGATTACATTTTTACAGAATATAATATAAATAGAAGAATGTGCATAGGACGAGATTTAAATTGACCGTAATTAAATAGGAATATTTCTTAATAAAACCTATCTAGACGAGGATTTTGACAATGGATTATTTAAGTTTATTTTTAGTTGATTTAATAAATCTTAAGAATTGAAAAGAGAATTTACCGTTTGTTGTTTTTTTTGCGAGTCTTGAATCTTGATACAAGGTACTGCTACAGGTGTACAGTGGCCAATTGAAATAGAACGTTAAAGTTAAAACAGATTAGAAACAAATAATTTTTATATAGCAACATTATTCTGTCACAGTATATCTGTGCCTTAAAGAATTTCATTCTCTCTGATCCAGACACGCATATTTAGCAATTAATTAATCAAAATTTACTTTCCAAGACCACTGAAATATCAAGAGGTACTTTTTAGTATTAAGTATATTAACAGAAGCATTTTGAGATGCGCTGTTTGGTAAACATTTTGCATATATATCAACGATTTCATTTATCGTTTTTTTAACGATCCATGGGATATATTAACACCTCTGGGTGTTTTAACATTACTTATTGTAAAAAACTAATTCAGTAATATGAATAATTAGTTTTTTATTATATAGTATTTGCCAGGAATTAAAGAATATAACACACAACAAACAAAAGCGCACCAGCAACAATTAAAGGCCAAATCCTACCAATATTTAAAAGCAAATGATCCACTTTGTACTAATACTGATTTGTAAAATACATTAAAAATAGCCTCAAATTTGTAAAAGCAAACTTCAATTCAAATTAAGCTTTTGCGCAATAAATCGGCGTTTTTAGCCGAGAAGAGCTGGCAAGCAACTTCTTTACTAGCCAAATGTTAAAAATTATTTTAGAATAGAATTATTAAGAAAATAGAACAAGGATCTATGGAAAGTAGGGTCGGGCAACTGCGTGTTGATTTTAAATATATTATATAACATACAATGCTCAAATCATACCCACCACGGACTCAGATTTTACAACACTATTCTACCCTTTACCTTTGCCAAATCGTTTTCCATATTTACATAGTTTCTTTACCGTAGTTGATGTAATCACGCAGTTGCTGCTGGAGGGGGTAGCATCGGAGCCGGTTCTTCATCAGAGTCATCCGAATGGACTCGTTGGAAACGTCGACGGTCAAGTAAACGACGTAACTTGAATTCTCCGTGACCGTATTCCCAGCGCCGAAGCGATACACCTTTGCGACCTGTTTTAGAATTATTTAACTACCCTTTTCCCAACCCCAGCATTGGTAAGGGGAAGCAATGAGAAGTATTTCGCATTTTTTTAAATTCATTAGGTATACATTACCTTAAAACAGCTTTAAATTTTTTGACGTGACATCGTCTAATAAATCGATGAACGTCGGCTTCACGCACGAAAAAGCATGACTCATTGTCCCGTCACGCTCATTGTATTTAGGATTCACTCCTTTGTATCCATACAAAATAGTGATAATTCAATAAAAATGATTCTGATAAATTTTATTCATAAAAGTCTGCAATCATTTCATCAATGTTTTGTTCTGACGTTGTCACGTTAAACTATCGTCCGTTAACCGACTTTACAGACAACCATTATTTTTCAACATATTTTTTTTCAGACCCATTGGCATCTGAGACAATATAATTACATCATGCATGTAATATAATCAGTTTTTTTAAGGGGTCCAAAGCCATGCGCCTCCTTAATATTAATTATACTACATACAAGTCGTAAAGGTAGATAGAAAAATATTTGGAGCTGTTTTAAGGTAGTGTGATTCGATAAATTTACCAGCATTTTTTAGTAGTTCACAGCCACTCTTCCTAAAAAATAAGGTATGTTTGCCTAACTGGGTGTTAGATCGTAGAACTTTAGAATAACTATATTTTATAGCCGGTAGTCATACAACTAAAAGAAAATACAATTAAGTCGCATACGCTATATGTAATTGAGTAAGATGATGGAATTTACGTTTATGGTAAATATACAAATCTCTATAAGTTTCTCAAGTGCTTAGTGATAATTAAGATATTCTTCTCCTCGGACGCAAAGGTCAATCTGTGGACGAGAGATAGATGCGGCGCATACGTATAACGAGCGCAACGGGACAATGCGTCACGCATTTTCATGCGTACAGCAGTTGTCACGTCAACATAGTGTGAGAAAAAGTTAATTGGAAATTGGAATTCTAAATTTGTTGAAGGCCATGTACTGTTATGTATTCATAAGTAAACGATTTCGTAAGGTTATTGGTCAGTTTCAGAGCACATATATGCATAGATTCCAAATATGTATTTGGAATCATATAACGTACGCTAATCAATTGCATTTTTAGCTAATTTCCGAAAAAAAAATTGCGTGCATGCCAAAGGTGCAAAAAATAAAAATACCAAAGCATCAGTCAATAAAATATATTTCGATGTGAACATACACTACAACAATGATATAAAGTACACATTAAGCATTTTTACTTAAACATAACGAATAAAAATTTTAATTTTTGTAAATGGCGATACTATACGTCAAACAAAAAATAAAAGCACTACTCACTTTGTATAGTATGCTGATAAAGTTATTGACAGTAGAAAACATTTTAATTCTTAGGTTTAACAATAAAATAATTTTGCAGCATGATAAATTGTTATTACTCTACAGGAATTGTGACTTAATGCCATATGTATTTTGACAAATGACATATACCTGTATATATCTCATTTGCCAAATCAACGGAATGTCTTAAAGTGGATATAAAAATAATTTCACAAAAAATATAGAATGAACAGATCAAATGTATAAGAAATACATCGGTTCTAGGATCTTATTCATTTTTTAATAATATATTTGAGCTCTAAAGTGAAATCGTTATTGTAATGTTTTAACTAAAACACTGATCTTTTCATCACTTCATAAAAACAAAGACACAACACAACAAATAAATTAAAACAATTCAATAAAACGAATAAAGGTTTTTATAAGTAAGAGAAATCTAAATTAATTAATTATTTTAAATTAAGATAATTAAACAATGATTTTAATCATTTGCTTTAGTTTAGAACTCATTATAAATAATCTAAACAAAAAGATCCCCTTCAAATACAGAGCATGCAATCAAAATTGTGCATATTTCAACTAATTCAACAAACAACAATAAATATTTTGTGTGTTTTTGTAAGTAAAATTCGAGAAAACAATATTAAATCATACAGAAACAACAATACTTGGCAAGTTACTTAGGAATATAAAACAACTTCAATGCTTTTCTAGTCCATAGAAAATCTATCATAGGTGTGAACGAGACAAACATATGTCTATCTGCTCACACCCCTTAACATTTACGTTTTACGTTAATATGAATTAAAAATGCCTTTTAATTATTTAAGTAAGCGCAGTCAGACGTAATAATTTACGTTATACATCAGCACAGCTTCATCATCTTAAATACGCGAGTTAATTATCAAAAGCCATAGATTTATATTGAAAAGCCTTGAAAAGCATAATTATAGGAGCGTTTTTCTCAAGTAAAACCTACGACCCGTTGCAATTACGTATACAATTCGTATTAAAGATATTGAAACCAATGACGCTTACTTCAGATCCAGCGCTTCCAGATTCACTGTAATTACAGTAGATTTACTGTATTTTAGACTTTTCTACTGTATACTGTAATGATAAAATACAGTGTATGAAAATACTGTATTTAATTTCCGTTCATATAAATTATCAAATTTAATACGTTTTACGTATTAGAAAATACGAAATATAAATTTGCAACCTAATCTAGAACCCAGAACAACTGACCTTTATCTATAGACAATGTAGAGTAGGATTGTTACCTACATATTATAGTTTACGTGCGGGGAATTCCCCAATGAATCAGAACTAACGCTTAGCAAAAACTAACCGTCTCTGTCTGACAAAGCAACATTGTATTTTCCATCTCATTCATTACGTTTTGATTGGTATGGTTTTATTGCTTTGCTACTGTAGCGAGCGCCGCGCCGAGCACATACATTTATTTCAGATTAAGACTTTTTAATTCTTGTGGATAGCGTAAATTAAACCAAAACTATATAATTGTAAAAATGGGCTCAAGTAGTGAAGAAAGTGATGTTCGTGGCGCTGCTGGTCCGTCAAGTGCAAAAAAGAAATATCGGCAACAATTTCGAGAGGAATGGCTTAAAATCCAAGACTAAGTGGCTAAAACCTGACAAAAAATCTGCTTATAAATGTTTTTGCACTGTCTGCGATTCTTCATTAACTGCCGATCTAGGTGCTATTAAAAGACACGGTGAAGGTGCTAAACACAAACTTCGTTTTCCTGGGCAATCGTATGTGCGTACCATTGATAATATTTTTAAGAGTCAGCAACGTGTAAGTGATGATGAGCGACGAAAAATTGCGGAAATTAAATTATCGGCCTTTATGGCAGAACATAAAATATCCCACATAGTGATGGACCATCTTGTTGATTTACTTCCAAAAATTTCCCCAGATTCTAAAATTGCAAGTAACATTAATCTTAAGCATACTAAATTACAAGCAGTAGTAAACAACGTCATCGGAGCTTCTGAAAGAGAATGTTTAGGAGCAGATTTGAAACGCGAAAAGTTTTCTATAATGGTAGATGAAAGTACCGATGTTGCCAGTGTGAAAACAATGTGTATTGTAGTCAAATATTATGATCTTAGTTCAGGGCGTATAGTAAGTCGATTCTGGGATCTTATTCAAATGTTTAATGATACTAATGCTGGACGGATTGGTGATTACTCAGCTACGGCTGAAAAATTATTTAATTCAATAATAAAATCATTTCAAGACGGAAATGTACCTTTAGAAAATATGATCGGATTTGGATCAGATGGCTGTAATACTATGATGGGCTGTCGTAATTCAGTGTCCTCACGGTTTAGACAATTGTGCCCAGGTATTATCGTGCTAAAATGTCTATGCCATTCCTTACATTTATGTGCCTCAGACGCTTGTAAAGAATTGCCTCATGATGCAGAAAAACTGACTCGATTGATTTACAATTATTTCAAAAATAGTAACAAACGTCAAGCAGAGCTAAAAGAATTTCAAGTATTTACGGACACTAATATTCACAAAATTCTACGTCCAGCTCAAACGCGTTGGTTGTCGCTGTCCAGTGTTGTGAACAGAATCATGGAGCAATGGGATGCCGTGCGATTATATTATGACGATAAATGGCTAGAAGAACAGGATTGCCAAGACATTCACAATCTTTTGAATGATCCCATCATCAAGGCATATTTTTATTTTTTGTTGGATGCTGCCAAAATTTACCCGCGTTAACGTATTCTTTCAAAGTGAAGATCCCGTTATTATTGAAGCCCATAACAAAATGACTGAGCTATACAGAGAACTGTTATCGTTATTCATAACTCCAAATTATATTAAAAACACCCCACTCGACGCAATTGACCCTACTAATAGTCAACATTACATAAATCTGGAAGATATATACCTAGGATTGGGTGTTGCTAATCAAGTTGCTGTCGCTGTTGCTAGAGCTACATGCGCATACCGAAGAAGTTACAGTGATGAAACAGAAATGCCTCAACTTTATCGTTAAAGCATGCGTGGGCATTCGGAAAAGATACAGTTTAAATGACCCAGTTTTGAGCTCAATCGCAAAGTTGAATCCTGATTCTTGCTTATCAGATAATAGAGAACAGTCTTTGTCTTCACTGTACCCAGTGTTACCAAGGCTGAAACCCCCAACTTTAAATGATCAACAGACGTTAGATGACGAATGGAGAAACTTGATTTTTATTGCGAATGATATACATTGGAATACAAGTCAACCAGCAGACTTATTTTGGCATCAGGTAAAATTTAATTATATAAAAACTCTATTTACATAATTTTGCACATATTTATGTTCACATTTCATAAATTTGTTTTTTATTTCAGTTATCTCAAATGAAAGATAGCAATGGAGACATTGAATTCCATTTGCTGCCTCGATTTATGCTGCAAGTATTATCTTTGCCTCACTCAAACGCTGAGTGCGAACGCAAGTTTAGTGAAATTAATAATATAAAAACCAAGCAGAGGAACTGTCTGATCACAAATACTATTAAAGGAAATATGTTAGCTCAGCAAGCCATTCGTCGAAATTCTGAAAACTGCGTCAAATTTAATCCCACTAATGAAATGATTTTGAAGATGAATGCAAAAATTTATCAAAATCATGAGGAAATTATTTTAGAATAACTTACTTATATGTATTTACAAATAAATTAATACTGCATCTTATTTTTCTTTTAATATTTAAACAAACTTTTACTGTAATTTTACTGTAATCGAATTTTGAATCTGCTGTATTGTTTTAAGAAACTACTATATTTTTTAGCTGACAACACTGTAATTTTACTTTTGGGATCTGGAAGCACTGTTCAGATCTAAAATAATTCGAATCCGTGCTAGCAAAATAGTGATTAAATCAGGGCATATCATCGTGTTGCGTGCACAAGAGTGGGTCTCTCTTACCGCGATTTCGTGCGTTTAGAAGCGCCAGCGCTGCGAGCACCACAAGCGCCGCTCCCCCCCGCGCCCAACGCCCCTCCCGCAGCCCCACCCCACCCCTCTAAAACCCCTTCGCCGGCTAACGCCACGCCACTCGCTTCTGTCACGTACAATTTTGAAAAACATAAAAAACCCATAGTAATAAAACACTAAAAAAATGCGTGACACTCCGTATCATATTGCGTGTCAACTAGAGATACATTTGACCAATTAACACACATTTGAAGTGAAAACTTCTTTAGCGGCGTTGTACATTTTTTTTGGAATGGGTGAAAAATGTTAAACTCGCGTCAGGACACGTGACCTGATCGAAAATTCGTAAGACGGATGAAGAGTAGATAGCTGCCGCGGCGTATTTAATGTAATATAAATTGTCATGTTTATGTACGATAGCACAATAAATAAATATTGTATTCTACCACATAAATGATAGTACTTTTATACTGATAATTAAAGCAATTCGTGCAAAATTATTCCCTAACCATTCCAAAATATCAAAAATGCACAACGTTAATATTCCAGTTTTCACTTCTGCCGGCACTCCCGGAGTGCAACCTGTCGTTTTTTTTACTTCCATATTGCAATTATTCTATAAAGCTTGATATTATCACTTGTCTAATATAGGACGGTGAATTCTCGTGCCAAAGAAAATGTGACGCTAACACTAGCAAATAAGTTTTATAATTCTTTGTGCGTGTTGTTTAATGATTGCATTGTACGGTCTTTATTGGAAGTAATGAAGGGTTATGCCATTTCTAATTCTTATTACGATTTCTATAATTAAATTTTTGTTTTCTTTATCATGTATTAAATTACAAATCTTTTATAAGTATACAGACGGTCTAACACCACGGAAGTCGAAACCATAAATTCATATAAATCATAAAAAAAGTTAAAAAGCATAGAACTATAAACACTGTTTTTAGTTAATTCACTTAAAACTTAGACAGTTTCTAAACCATTTCTCTGTAAAACAATAAAACCATTTATATTATTTATATATTTAAATGACCGATTAGAAATTATACAAACCTACTTACCAATAGTAGCTGTTGGCTTTGTATGCAATGTTCCATTGGGTTTCATCTCAACCTGCAAATTCCCTTTCAACCCGTCATCCACAAACTTGTACGCTTTAAAAGGGTTAAGTTCGACTACGTAGACAGTACTGCCATCTGGGGTGACCGCGATATCGTGAGGATTATGGAAGGCAGAGCCGGGGGCGAAAGTCTGTATTAGACGTCCTGAGGTGTATTCTATGACATAACCTCTAACTGGTATTCCCATAGAAGGTCCATTTACTAAGTATAGTCTTCCGCCTGGAAAAGTAAGAATATCATTGTATATGTGGATTTAAATTTATATGTCAGAAATGTCAGTAACTGTATAGTATATAGTATATTACGTAGTGTATGTGTCGCAGCCAACTAGCTTAATTAGTTGTTTAATTAACAGCCTAGCCTTTTAATGCGTGTTGTTTAATGATTGCATTGTACGGTCTTTATTTGGAAGTAATGAAGGGTTATGCCATTTCTAATTCTTATTACGATTGTTTTGTATGTATATTAATTATACAATGTCAGAATAACACATTGACATAATACTAGTCAAAACTATTGTTTAGTCTATGTTCGTCACAGACTATAAATAATATACTCACCCTGTATTGGAGAATATGCAACACTGAATATCCTAGGTCCGATCAGCCAATGAGAGTATGAATGTATGTATGTTCCATTATCAGCTCTGAAGCAGGCAACTCTACCCCTTTCCCTGTCTGCAGTACATACAGCGTTTTGATCCTCAGCTATTGTCAATGCATGTGGAATGTCAAAAGTAAATGGTGTTTGACCGGACTCTGAAATACATCATAGATTGTTTTATGTTCACGCTAGAAAGCAGAATGTCTAAAAATACTTTATTTTATTTGTCTAATATCATAACATTGTTAAAAATATTTCGATCACTTCATACTTCACACTTTGTTTTAATGTTTTAATATAATAAAAACAATTACTACAACAAATCATATAAAATTTATTGTTATATATATTATAATGTGTCATTGTTCTATTAGATAACATTAGGAGAGCTTTAACTAAATTGGTTTGGTAAGCAAATAAACCCAACTGTAAAAACAATAAGTTCTGGATGGAGAAAATGGGACTTCAAACATTCTACTTACGACGTCCCCACTGTAATATCTTTGTCCCATCTGCAGCATACTTAATGATTCTTGTGTTACAATATCCGTCTGATACAAAGAAGTCCCCAGAAGAATGAACGGCAACAGCACTTGGCTTGCAGAAATGTTTATCATCATTGCCTGGTACAAATCTGTGAAAGTAATAACTCGGTTGTTTATTGAGGAAAATAGATTTACTTAGACACATACATACATTAAGGGTTTTAGCAGATTAAAAAATTAGTTATTGGTTACTAGTAAATAATATGAAACTCATATTGTTTAGTGCATACTTTTCTCCAAGTGTAATAACAGGTTTCTCTCTCTGATCTGGTGTAAATTTAAAAACTTGGTGAAGAGCTACATCAGTCACCCATACATTCCCTGCCGCATCCACTGTTATACCATGGGGCATGTAAAAACTGCAAAAAGTGATTATTTTTGTAGGTTTCAGATATAAATACAATTTGAGCAATGTTGTACTTTTTAATGATTAGCACAAATATGTGGTAATAATAAGGTGGTTTTTTTCCCCAGGGGGAATTACTGTGTGGTAAATTTTCACTATTAAAGTATTTATACTTTAAAAATTCATTATACTGATTTTACTAAATAGTGATATATATTATAACTATTGAGAACTTAGAGCATGGCCTAGGTTTACTTGATAAACTTGTTGTTAGAGATAAATATTCATAAATTTCACTTACAGGTTTTCTCCCCACATATCAACAAGCTCCCCAGTCTCATTGAAAACTAAAATAGTCGAGTGTGGAATTGGTGGTTCCCCTATAGATTGATAAACATTTCGATCAGAGAATGTGCGACTATCCCAGACGTTTTTTCCTCTATGGAATATAAACACCCGGCCAGCATTATCTATTGATACTCCTGATACTTGGCCCATTTCTACAGCAGGATCTGGCCAATCAGTCACCAACTTTGGCACTGTAATAATTGTAATATTCCATCACTGAATTTCACTTTTTTATGTAGATTAAGATTAATAATATAGAATTAAACAAAAAAATCCAATCTGGAATTGCATGAATTAAATTCATAATGTTGTAATATAACTAAACTATTTACTCACAGTGCTCTAACTTTCCAAGACCAGCATTTATTTTGGCATATTGTTGATTATCAAAGTAATTTCCTGAGAAATACCCCTCTTCTGGATACTAAAAGTAATATAAATAAATATATGTCAAATGTTTACCGAAATAATATAAGCCGAAAACTGATCTATAATACTTACACGGCGAGAAGTTGCAAAATTCACAAAACATAATAATAACACTAAATCTACGACATGGCTTATATAGGTTTTGATCATGATAGTCAATTAAAAAAAATCAAATTATAATCAAATAGCACTAACAAGTTAATAATAAACGAGAAAACCTAATACACTGACTCAAGAATCAAGATCAGTGTGACCGTTTTAAAAAATGGCGATCTACCAAAACTACAAGGTGCCAGTACTAAATAATACCAAAACACATGCTGAATTATACTAAAAATATACTAAAAGAAAAAGAGGATTTTTTTTATTAAAACACTTATTATCAGTTACTTTTTAATTTTACCAATTACACACCTTCATTATACAGACATATTCAAATAATAATAAATATTTACAATAAGTTTTATTACAAATACTAAGTCAGTATTCGCTGCACTGAGCTAACTGAGCAGATTTAGTGCGTTTGCAGGAAAGGCCTTTGCGATTTCCGAATCATAAAACATTTTGCTGAATAAATCGCTGAGATGATCCATGGCCCGAGATGGTATGTTCTGCCAACGCTGCATAAAATATAAGCTCTGCTTTTCTTACTTCTTCAGATATGGTTCCTTTGAAGTAATTTATCATCGTTCTGAAAATAAACAGGATTTGATTAATTTGATGAATTTAAATCAATTATACATGTGTGTACAACTGTACATGTACTATCCAAGATTCATCGGACATCCTGTAGAAGTAGGACAATTAATTCATGTGCCATAAAAAATAAGGGACACAATAATCTTATAAATATGTTAATGGGGGCATAGCTTTCTTACCTTGGATTGTCCACTATAATGTATAAGTTTCTATCGATGTTTTTCAGAATATGCATGACTTTTAATTGTAGCGATTCTGCTTAAAAAATTTTCTCCACACGTTTTATACAAGGCGTTCTCATTATTTTTATCTTTTGTCAACCATGACGAAAATTCAGAATTTTGTTTCCACTCAGATCTATATTTCTGATCGTATTTGCGCTTCATTATCTTCACTACACATGCACACAGAGAGAAATAAATAAAGAACTAAAACATCCGTGGTCCCAAAAGGGACCTCATGTATAAAAATACAGCATGTAACGTAGATAGTAATACGTAGCTAAAGCACGATTCGCGAATTTGTTAGCATTAACCGTTCGAAAGAGACAAAATGATACATTAGCGGTAAACATCAGACAAAGACAAAAACATGTCAACGAAATACGAACGAATGGAAGTGAGTGTTTCCCGCCAAGCCCAAAAATATATCAAAATGTGTTTTAAAATGTTGAAAGTTTAAATGTACCAAAAAATACCAGAATATAAAAGGATACCAAAAAAAATACTAAATTAGTTACACGGAGCCCAAATTATACCAATTTGGTACTGAATATACTAAAAACGGTCACACTGATCAAGATATCAGAATCATTCTTAATTCGATTCACAAACAGTTATTATATTTTGACACATGACAGTATCAATTGTTAACTGACAGAAAGAAAACTCTGATGACGATCATAGAAACAACAAGGCCCTGTATAATATGTCGCAGCCAGCTAGCTCAATCAGCCGTTCAATTAACAGCCTAGCCGTTTAATTAGCGGCCTGAAAGATGTTCAGCCAGTTGATTAAACCGCTGGGCAAATGACTTGGATCGATGACGTTTCATTACTTGCATAGCCTGTTGACTGTTAATTTAAATTAAATTCAACAAATTTTCCACTTTCTGCTACTCTCAAACTCGAAAACAAACTCTGGCCGCCCCGATGCGTGTTATTTTATTGATTATTTTCAAAACTATGCACCGTGCGTGGGCGACATTTTGAGTAATCTCATTTCGTCGCTCCCCGCGGCGGGTGCCGGAAGTTCGGCGCTGCAGCTTTTACCAGAGCCGAGGTACGTACGTTATGGTGGCTGCGCGGCCCCCACTATACCAGTTACGTATTTTTTTAGTAAATATTTTATTTCATTTATATTATAATTATGTTGTTTTTTTAAAAACGTTGATTAGAGGTTTTTTATTTTTATAGTTTATTCTATGAGGAATAAGAAAACATGTAAATGTTAGCTTTAGAGTTTCAAGGTTATCGATTTTGTTTGTTTGTTTATCTTAAGAAAAAACAGTACCAAAGAGTTGTAATATTTTTGTGATCTCTTGTAGTAATTAAGTAAAAAGAATTACATTAATAAAAATGTACTTATTCAATAAAACAAGCTTGTTATTTATCTTTTTTTAAATAAAACTTACATAAAATTACGGACATTTGCATCCTAGAAGCTAATCTGTATTGAGGGCCGCGCGACCCCCACAATAGCAGTTACGATAAATCATAAAGTTAAGGGTTAAAAATAAATATTTTTTATTTCTGCCAAATAATGACTTTATCGTACGAAAGGCCTAAGCATTAGCCAGCCATTTTATTAAATGTTGTAACAAACGCTACGGCTGAATATCTTTAGTTAAACGGCTAGGCTGTTAATTGAACGGCTAATTAAGCTAGTTGGCTGCGACATATTTATAATATCGGACATGACGGGTCTAGTCAGTGGCGTAGCTAGGTGACCAAGGGCCCTGGGGCAAATAAAAAAATGGGGCCCCACTGCTATGTAAACTGATTAGGTTTTATCAAATAAAAATATGAAATATACACAAAATTTAAAAATGCTAAGCTACTTAAGCTCTTTTTTGTGCAGGGCAGGTAATAAACATATTAAACAGTAACAACATACTCGTAAATTACAATTAATACTTGGTGTAGGTTTGGCGAAATAAATGGAATAGAGAAGATTCAAGGGTTTATTATATAAAGGTCGGGCCTACCAACCGACTAAATAACAATTATATTTTTTCCTAGCTTTAGTTTTCGCAAAATTATCAATGACTTCGTTTAAATCCAGGCTTAATGCGGTTTTGTTTTCATTTGCTATCTAATTCTCGTTATAAAATGAGCTGTAGGCGAAATCTTTAGATTTGACAAGATTTATTGACTTTACCGGACATCGATATGTGTGGTAAAATCAAATAAAATTGAACCACTATATTGACCAGTACAAAAAAGTTTATTGACATTAGCTTACTTACTCCTGATATAGCATGAGATTTTTAACTGTTCTCAAAAAAAAATCTTCGAATAATAAAATGCAAATATCACTATCCGTCAAATTGACCTACAGAAAGAATTTAGGGGAATTCCCTACGCATAACTTTTGAATTTCTATCAAATTAATGTCTTAATTCTAGTACTTAGATAAAAGTCTTTTACTGATTATTACGGGTAGTTGTAGATTACGTAGGAAATGTCTAGGAAAAAAATAAACCTATCGGATCGCATTTCGAGATTCATAAGAATATTCCTAACATTTCATTTAGCAAATGGACTATAAAAACTTATCAAAAGAACCCATCTGTTAAAGAATTATGGGAGGCAATAAAAAGGCATGCTTATGCTTTACACTAAGTTTATTTTATGCAGTATATTCACTGCACAATGTGGTGCAATAACACCAACAAGATAAGTGACCATCATAAATAAGCCCATCACATGAATGGGTTAAATATAGTCACTTATCTACAATAAGCGCATTACGCGCATCTGTCGTTATATGTTAAATCTTAAATCGTAGACAAGAAGGATTGCGCCTCCCATTGTATTTTCTTCATCTTCTTTCTAATTTTCCCAGACATGCGATTGAGCCTGCCCAATTTCGCAATACCAAGACGAAGTTTTCGGTCGAGTTGGTGGCGGGCCTTCAGGGACTTCGAATCGAGTGCTTGAAAATGTTTTACCCTATTCAGGCAGAACATTAGTTTGTTAGAGACATTCGTCACTGCTTGTTTTTGCTGTGTAGATGGATCATCTGTGATCGGGATTTTCTTTTTTTGGATACTGTTCACAGAAGGCGAAACTGCAAACTGCTTGGGACGAACGGGGAACGTCACATTATTATTTTTCTTCTTGTAAACGGAAGGACCGTTTTTAATCAGATTATACTTTTGAACGAGTTCCGCATAATCGTCGCGGGGAAAGGCGGAGAAAATACAATGGAAATGCTTTCCAATTTCGTCCCGCAGCGATTGGGAAACTGTTTGTTGTCTCAGGTTAGTTATTTTTTCTTGGAGCATATTCAGTTGATGCAAATGATGCAAGCCACCCGCGAGCCCGGCTTGTCCAAGTAAAACCATGTTGAGTTTCTTCATCATACCCCTAATGTTATCTCTGTTATTACCCAACGCGGCACTGCTCACCACTTTTTCCTTCAAAAGATGGCCGCGGCGGTTTTGATGATACGTCAACTCTTTGTATAGCAAAGTCGGTTCTCCCAAGAATTTTTTCAAAGAGTTGAGTGAGCTCTTCAATTTTCGCAACAAGGCGTTCTTGTTTTTGGGAATATCGCTCGATTGAAGCGAGTTAGGCGAGGTGTTCTCAATGTCGATAGTGCAGTTATTTAATTGTTTCGATTTGGTCCACTCGCGAAGTTCCGTTTGGAACGCCTCTTGATTGCCAATAGTGCCTTTGATGTTTAAGAATGGAACATCGGCGTCACTGCAGTCGAGAGTGATTTGGTTCTTCTCTTGAGCGTTCTCCAGCCACGCTTTACCCTCATCTGTGATTAGGGCGTCTCTGAGTTCATTAGTTAAATAAATTCGAGCTAATGTTATAACTTCACTCGTGTCGGAAACTTCGTTGTCTTGTATCATGTGACCTTGCTCGTCAAGATTCGAAGATTTGGTTTTCCCAGTTTCAATCGGATTTTCTGGTGTTTTATTTGAAGTATTAGAGACAGCCGCGACTTGATTTTTATTTGGGTTGAGGGGGCTATTGAGTAATTTTCCATCAGACTCGGAGCAAAAGCTTCTCCTCTTTGGTTGGTGAGTGTCGTGAGCCACTGGAGATTTGGATTGGCGTTTTTTGCTGATTTTGTTTGAGTCGACAGTGATGTCTTGCTGGCAGGATCTCACGTTAAGGTCTGAGTTTTCGTTGGAGTTAAAAGTAAAGAGGGGCCTGTAGGAGAACACGTAAGGAGCGTTAATTGGGAGGCCCGAGAAGAAATGGCTGATACGGCAACTGTGGACGAGATGACCGCGGCGGGTACAGCCGCTGCAGTAGTGTTGGTAATGTTTCTTTGTTTGGTGGTTCTCTTCAAGTGCCATAGACAAGTCGGTCTGAAAGAGAATTAAAACTCAGATCAGTTTTCGGATAAAAATATGGAGGGTCGTATAGAAATTTATATAGTACCAATTGGTGTTACACAAGTACTAGTACTAGGTATTTCTAGATTCACCTTATCAGTAAAAACATCAAATTCTTCAAAAAAAATAGTATTTATAAATACCCCTCGTATTAATTTAATTTTAAGATTTAATTAGAAATTAAAACAGCTGCCATTTTTTTAGTTTTGCACATACTAGATAGAACCCACGACTTACTTCGCGTGGAAATCTTAGATATATTTTCACCAGATTGTTAATATATCCATGATTTATTTTTTGTATAGCGATTGACTTTTAGACATCCCTCCAAAATGTTACAAAGACTGATATTTAAATAAGAGCCACCACCACTATGCTCACCACAATCAGCCCATTGAAGGCTTTCGATTCGAGAGGGTCCTTCAAGAAAAGAGCGTACCAATTCTTAAAAAGCCGGCATATAAATCTATGCGTGTGATTTTAATTAAACTCGGCTGGACCGATTTTGTAAAAGATTTTGTCTCTTAGATGATACTTTTTTTTAAGTTTGAAATTTTTTATTAAGACGTTTGTATTTTGTAAAATTCGGTTAAGCTTCTGTAAAAGCTTATATATCGCTTGCCCCGGGAAACAAAGCACCATTTTGACTTCCTGTGATGAAGTACTATAACTGTAATTATTTTCAGAGTCTTATCTAAACATTTTGTTATAAAAGAACATGAGGATGCCTTCATTCTACGGAAATTATTTTGTCCAAAAAATGTGTTTTGTGTTTAAATCGTCAAATAGCAACTTTTTAACTGTCCTTTGATATTTATATATTTGTATATGTAGTGTTCTTAGTATTCCAGTAATAATAGCATTACCTTCTTTTAGTTAAAAAAAAAAAAACGATTTATTCCCCGTGGCAAGCGATATTATGGTTGTTGCCGAACTCAATAAATCAGGGTCCGATTCAGGACTTCGACAAGTAAAGCAATATGCGTTTGCAATTATTACCGTATCATGATATCGTCTCCACAGGTCAGGGCAGTGAGAAGCCGGATGCCCTCCTTGGCCACACTCCGAGCAGCGAATGTAGCGCCAATTCGCACAATTGCGACACATATTCGAATATATGTGATTCGGGGAACCGCACTGAAATTATCAATGAGTATGATTATAATTTATGCATTGACTAAATTCACAGGTAAAAATATTTGGTGGAGAAAATTTTGCATTATCGTAGCAAGCTGTGGTAGGCTGTGCTGTAAGCGAAATAATCTATGACACTATATCCTTGGGCCTTAGTCAAGATGCCTTAACAGTAGTGTATGTAGAATGTCGAAAACTAAATTTGTATGGAAATGCCGAAAAGTTTTCATACAAATTTAGTTTTCGACTTTCTACATACACTACTGTTAAGGCATCTTGAATAAGGCCCCTTGTCATGTTATAAAATATTTCTTGATAGTTCGTGTATAGCGACTGTTAATGAATCATTTATAACAAATTCTTATAAATTCCACGCAGATATTGTGACCAGAGTCGGCCGTCATGGACACGATATTTTTAACTTAAAAGGGTTCCTAAATCTTACACATTATAGTGTATTGTTTATAATCAATAAAATATTTTTATTTTGTGTCTATATATCTTTTGTATACTCACATTGACACAAATCTTGTGGGGACATCGAGTCTCATAGTGTCCCGTGGAGCCACACATATAGCAGACAGGTGGCTTAGCTCTGCACATGTCATCACGATGACCTGACCGGTTGCAGTAGTTACATCTAGAAGTAAAAGTTGTGGATTATTCCTTACTGTTAAACCAGATGGCTTAGTGGGTACATGACCAGGGCCATTAATCTTTAACTTTCTATAGCACTACGGACATCAAAATAACTACATCAAACATGCATACATATCTTTAGGATTGGTATTAATGTTGTAAGTTACACAGTACGGGCGCTGGTCCAACTTCCGGCAAACAATAATTATATTTATCAGCCAATAAAGACAAAATATTTGTGAAATGTTACATTTCAAAGGTGAAGACGTTTATATGGATCCAATTGATTTATAGACAATAATAAACTTTGATATAAATAACAACATAGTGGAATGATAGGTTTATATAGTGTGTATTTCATCAATGAAGTTCCTTAACAATCACAATTCCTATCGAATTAGTAATTACTGTAAAGATAGAATAATGATATGAAAATAAAATAAATAAAAACAATAAGGTAAGAAGCTTTGGAATGTTGCCCACATGATAATTATGGTTTATCACATATGCAAATTCTAAAAATATGATTTTTAATAATGTAATTAACAAAATATTGCATAATAGTAGTAAATTTGTCAAATCTAATTAAACATCACATTATTTAATGATTATTACGCAACAACAATAATTATAATGACTTCCATATGCTTTGTAATTATGAATTATTATCAGGAAACATTAACAAACAAGTTTATACATATCTTAATTACTCAATGGCTTTGCAATAGAATTATGAAAACACATAATTAGCCACCTTTCATAAGAAATATTTGGTACTGATTTGGCAAGAATATAGATATCACAAAGTAAAATTATTAATTTATTACAATTACATAAAAGGAACATAGTTGCTATAAGAAAATAATTAAAAAAATTCTTTAACTATCTTCACCGTTTGTGTAATCAAAATATATTGAATTAAAATCAAGTTCCTTGTACTGCCATATTCACATACTTGTTTGACAAAACAGTATTCTAAGATACACACTGTTTTTTGTTTATTACATATACATATTTAGAGTTCCAATGCATAAATTTACTTACGTCACTTTTCTTTTTGTTGGTGGCATTTTATCCTTTGGGTCAATAACCCACAGACTTTTATCACCTGAAATTGAAATGTAATCAATCAATGAATAAACTATATTTATGTGCATTGTTTTGGTTTATTTCCTACAAATGATTTTATATGAATTGTTGTATAGATAAGACAAGGTTGTTTAGGTTGATGAACTAAAAATATAGGAAGGTGACATTATTCAAGGAAGGACAATGCAAAGTCATTTACATCAACATATAAATATCTTGAAAATGTATAATATTCATATATAATTAGCTGAATTAAAATGATGATCTCTGAATTCTGAAACCTTCAAGAAGTGTAAAGTGCAAAATCACAACACAAATTTTATAATTATTTCTATTATGTTAGACCTATTTGTTACACCAATATATTAAAGAATGCTTCTACTTACGTGACATATTTTTCTGTATTTCTCTATGATTAAAGTTTTCACCGCCCCAGCTTTCATTATAGAACTTATCCATCTCTGCTCGTAGCGTTGTTAGAGAGTACCGTCGTCGTTTAGACATCTGAGTTTTGCCTTTTAAATTATCAAAATCAAGATCTTCACAAAGGATTGCAGGAATTTTTGTTGAACCCAAACTACATGAACCATCTATGGACAGATTGAAATCATCAACTGTTTCTCCTGAAAAGCCAGTAACATTTCCCATGACAATATTTTCATCAATTTCAGGTGCTGGAGCAGTGAGATCAACAAGGTCTGAATGGTTTATTATGGAGATGAAATCTTCCGCAACTGATATACCATCTTGCTTCTCTGGAACACTACCATCAGAACTGTCAATCTCTGTGCTGGATATTTCAGTGTCTTTTTTCTGGTCTTTTTGTTGTTCTGACTGATTAGAATCAGACTCATACACATCTGTACTTGGCAAGCTTTTTTCTGTAACTAGATATGTCTTCTGATTTTTTGCAGCTTCATTAGTAGAATGGTTGCTGTCTGAATCATAAATGTCTGCTTGTTGGATTGGACCAACTTTATTTGTTTTTGCTTTTTTCTTCTTCTTAGCTTTGCTCTTAGGTGTTGCAAAGCAAGATTCAATTTGATTTTGATTTGGTATATCCTTTTGAGTCTGCAAGGGTGTAGAAGTTGCAGTATCTTTATTCTTTTTTTTTCGCTTTTTCTTTGATGGTTTTTGTATATTCAGATCAGAACCATGCAGGCTAAAGTCAAAACTTTCATTATTGACATGACGGGATGAGATATTAAGTGCAATACAGTCACCTCTGATGAAATCATCTGATACAGAAGATACAATTGACGGGACGGGGCTAGATGATACTGCCCTGTCTGATATTGGGTTGTCCATCTGTTTAGCATTTTTGTTTTCAGATGATGACTGAAGCAACACTTCATCATCAGAACTTTCAATAGTTATAGTAGGTTTTGGAGGCAATGCTACCTCAATCACTTCATCTTCATCACTTGATTCAACACTTACAACATGGCATTCATCATTATCCAAGATCTCAATAGTTTTCTTTAAATTGCTAGGTACAGGCAATTGGAAGATAGATAAATCTGCTTTTTCAGTAGAATTTTGTTTTTCGTTTTTAGAAGATTGACATACTTGAAGGAGTTGTTCTTGGAGTTTACTTTTCAATGGTGCCAAATCTTGGGATACAGATTTAGACTCGTTAATGTTATCTTGTGGTTTTGGTTTGTTAGAATTGTTTGTAGTATCGGGTAATGTGTTAATTTTTCGATATAGTGAAAAGTTATCGGCGTTGGTGTGCCAATAACGGCGTATGGGAGTACGCGGAAGATTAGGAATTTGAACCTCATCTTTTTTATTCGTATATCCATTTATGTGAGCCTGATTGTAGTTCGTCCTATCGTGTAGCATAGGGTACAAAGCTTGCCCCACATCATGGTCGCTAAGCTCCTGAAACAATAAAAAAATGCAAAATTCCACGCGCCTCTTGCACCAATGTTGTGACTTGTGACACAACAAAAATATAATAACCTCAACATACCTCTTCCATAATTTTGATGAGAACGCAGTTGAAACTGACCTTTGCAAGAAATGAACATAATCGAAAATATAATTAGCGTGATAACAAGCACTATATCATGACAAGAAACACAAGAAATAAAAACTAGGTTTTATTTATTTTGGACACGACTGACACTCCATCTCAACCATTAGAACTTCACTTCACTTCACTTCACTTTATTTATAATGGCGACATCTGTGTAAATCACAATTCCGCCAATGTCACGTTCTAAGTCTTCACACAGTGAGGATAGATTTGATAATTTTACTAGATTGAATTTTATCTAAGCAGAGTTACCCAAAACAAAAATGGCATCACAATAAATACAACACACACAGACATCTAATAATATATACAAAAGGTTAACATTTTACTACAAGGTATGGAGGGGAGAATCTTATTTATAACTTTAATTTATTAACAGAAATAAATTTTCCTAAAATATTGACGATCGAGCTGGATGGGAGGGAAAGTAGGGAGTTAAGGTTACATGGACGAGGGAAATCTGAAGAAAGATGGTCAAATAACGAGTCATTAATTAAAGAACAGTTAAAAAATATGTGGTCTGTCGAGCCTTCGTCCATACCACACTCACAGAGAGAGCTGTCTTTAATTTTAATTTTGGCTAGATGAACGGGAGTACAAGCGTGCCCTATACGAAGACGGCAGATTATAGACGTGACCTTTTTGTTTAAAAACTTATATTTAAAAAACCACGGCGAAGAAGGGATTGAATACTGAATATTAGCATAGTGCCTGCCAGTTTTTACTTTAGAAGATTGCCAATCAATAGTCCAGGATTTTAAAAGGTGGGAGTACGCAAGAGCTGATAGGTCGTGGGCCGAGATGTTGGGATGCTGACAAGATCCGCAGAAAATAGCACCTTTTGCACAAGAGTCAGCAGTTTCATTACCCGCTATACCACAATGACTAGGTATCCACAAAAGTACAATATGAATATCTTTTTTACTACACCTAAACAAAGCTTCTCTTATTTTTAGAATAGTATTATGTTTTTTTAGATCTGAATGGATTGGAAAGAATTGCCTGTAAACAGCTGCGAGAATCGGAAAAAATTGTAACTTTATTTAGGTTGTGGGACTCAGCATACAAAACCGCTTCTAGGATTGCAAAAGCTTCACCTGAAAAAACGGAGGTCAATGGAGGAAGTTTAAAGCTCAATACTGTTTTGAATGAAGGAACCCATACAGCCGCACCGATGTACTCATTATTGGGAATCTTGGAAGCATCAGTATACATCGGTAACCAACCCTGCCAGTCTTTTGAAATTTTTTCCAGAAAACAAGTGGAAGCTTGGGTGGATTTTTTTTCAATTCCAAAGTTTAAAATTATTTTAGGATCAAAAATGAGGGATTCATAACTATTTAAAAACAAGGGATTACTAGGGAAACTTTCAATAGGATTAGGAAGACGAGAAAGTTTATTAAAACTGTATAACAGGCATGGAACATTACCTGTACTAGATGGCATCGTGAGATTAGATAAGCGACGTAATTTGGACAAGATGGAATGTGAAGAGTATTGAAGGACTTTGATGAAGAAGCGGTCACTTAAAAATTGTCTACGTAAATACAGGGGGGTCAACACATTCTATTTGGAGAGCATTGATGGGAGAGGATTTCATAGCACCAAGGATGATGCGTAAAGATTTCGATTGAATTTTGGAAATTTTATCAAGGGCTTGCTTGTTGCCAGGATCTAAAAGGAAGGTGCCATAATCAAAATGACTTCGTACCACAGCATTGTATAAAAGCTTTTGCGAGTAGGGGTGTGCTCCCCACCTCACACCAGATAATGAACGGAGAACATTAACACCCTTCTCACTTTTTTTAATCACATGGTTAAAATGAGGAACACCGTTTAACTTTGAGTCTAAAATAAGGCCTAAAAATTTTACTTGCTTACAACACGATACCAAGGACCCTTTATATGAAATGTTACACCGTGGAACCTTGTATTTTGTAGTAAATGTGACTGCCGAGCATTTGGGCACAGAAATAGAGAGACCATGATCATTTAACCAATCACCCAAATAATCCAAAGCCGAATTTAGGCGTGTTGATGCCTCTTCAATAGAATTTGATGAAAAATATAAGGCTACATCGTCCGCGTATTGAAGAATCTGACAGAAGGAATTCACAACAAGCTCCAGGTCATAGGTGTAAATGTTGTACAGAAGGGGACTCAAAACAGAACCTTGAGGTAAGCCCCTCCAAATAGATCTAGGAGACAGCTCCGTATTTTGAGATCTTATAATAATATAACGATTCGAAACTGCATTGCAAACAAAACGTACCAACTTCTCAGGAATACTCAGCTGAAGCATTTTTTGCCTGAGCACTGGAACCAGCACGTGGTCATACGCAGATGCGATATCCAAGAAAACACCCACCAGGAACTGTTTCTTTTTAAAAGCAATGCGAATGTCGGTCGTTATTATACTTAGGCTATCCATCGTACTTAAGCCTTTCCTGAAACCAAACTGGGATTTTGCAAAGATATTGTTACTTTCACAAAACCATTCTAAACGAATTTTAATCAAATGTTCCATAATTTTTAAAAGGGTAGAAGACAAAGCAATAGGTCTGTATGAAGAGAAATCTGATGGATCTTTGCCAGGTTTTAGAAGCGGAATGACGATTTGTCTGTTCCACGATTCAGGAATAATTCCAAGATCGAAAAAACAGTTTACTAAATCTAGAAAGTACCTCTTAGTGCCTAATGAAGAATTTATGAGGAATGAGTAAGGGATTCCATCTTCTCCAGGGGAAGAGTCAGAGATACCATTTAATGCTTTGTTAAGTTCTTCCAAGGAGAATTGGCAATCTAGACTGTTTGAAGAGGGGATGTAAGAATTATACTTATAAGGAAGACAATCATAAAAAGGGACTGATGGAGGAGCCAATTTGTCGGCAAAGGAGGTAATCCAGCTAGACGGATCATTAAAAGGGACATCATAAGAATTGAGGGAACAACGGAATCTTCTGATCTGCCTCCAAACAACAGACGAAGGGGTACCAGGGCACATGCTCTCACAGAACTTATGCCAACCAAGACGTTTCTTATTATTAAGAAGTCTGCGAGCAGCTGCAGAAGCTTGTTGGTAGACTAAAAAATTTTCCAAGGTCATGCAAAGACTGTATGACCTTTCTGCCGTTTTTCTTTTTCGAATCATCTCAGTACATTCGGAATCCCACCAAGGAGGAGAAATTTTCCTTTGTGTAGAAGATTTGAGTGGAATATGTAAACTGGCAGATGAGGTGAGGGAGTTGACAAAATCATTGTATGAAGATAGGCAGTTTTCAACAGAAACTGCGGGGAGCGCAGCTATCTTAGAGTCAATAGAAGATGAAAAGTCTGACCAATTGGCCTGATTCAGTTTAAATTTTAAAAGAGGGGAAGGGCGAGTAACGCTCCTTAAATTGGTTGGGAGATCAATTAAAATGGGGAAGTGGTCACTCCCACAAGTGCTCTTAAAAACACGCCAGGATAGAAAAGGGAAAAGATCAGGAGAACAAAGTGATAAATCCACTGCGTTAGCGGGATTCTGAGATGGAAGACTCCTTCTCGTAGGACAACCATTATTCAAGACACTTATGTTTATATCATCGAGTAAATCTAGTAGAAGGGACCCAAAAGAATCTGAGGAATGACAACCCCAAGAAACATGGTGGGCATTGAAATCACCCAACATGACAACAGGAGGAGGAACCGAAAGGATAATAGAACGTATATCAGAAATGAGGTCGATATGGGGGTGGGGAATATAAACAGAAATAAACGAGATATTAAAAGCTCTCATAGCAACAGCATTGATACCATCACAATGAGGAAGAGATAATGAGTGGAAGGTGAGGGATCGGCTGACCAAAAAGGCACAGCCAGCATAGCCATCATCCCTGTCATCTCGGAGACATCGATACCCAGAAACCCTAAAGCGGGAACCCGGCAATAACCAAGTCTCCGAAATGGCTAGAATAGATGGAGCGAATTTATTGATAAGAAAGGTTAATTCTGATTTTTTACTGCGAATACTGTTACAGTTCCACTGAATTACCAGATTCGCCATTTTTGGTGACGAATGAGTGGAGCAAATTAATTTTTTGGGCAACGTGGGACGGTATGGGGATGTCATCATACTTGGATAGCATATTACAAATGACTGCCCATAAGCAGTCAAGAAGATTTTCATTTGGGGAGACTTCATTGTTGATAAGGGAAGGGAGCTTACGGCACAACCATTGGGTAAAGAGGAGGGTAAATTGGAAGTAATGGCCTCATGGGCCGCCTTATCAAAGGATTTTCCTGATGTTGGTCTAGAGCGAGGAGGGAGAAATACAGTTTTCCTGTAAGATGTAGTCTGACGGGAAACTTGGGAAGGTAAAGTAATGGGCTGGGATAAAGAGGAGGGGGTTGCTTTTACAGAATCTGCAAAAGTTTTGCCATTGATAGGTCTAAACCGAGCCGATGCTTCGAGATAAGAAATGCTCTCTTGAGACATACAACTCTTTATATTTCTTTGTCGATTATGTTCAGGGCAAGCTTTGTTGGTCGCAAAGTGTGAGGCAGTACAAAATAAACATAATGACTCTGTTTCAGGGATATTACACTCATCACCAGAATGGGCTAGACTACAACGAAAACACCTAGGCTTCGATCGGCATTGTGACTTTACGTGACCAAACCTACAACAGTTAAGGCACTGAATTGTAGGGAGTTGGTACGTTTCAACGCGGAGGGAACTATGACAAGAGAATATTCTCTCAGGAAGGGTTTGACCTTGAAAAGTTAGAACAACGGTTTGTGTTGGGATCCAATTAATTTGACCATCGGAGTTCGTCTTGCGGTTTAGGCGTCTGGCCTTGAGGACTATACCTGTACCTTCGGGAATTTCCAAGGTTTCGACAAATTCCTGCATCGACCAATCAGCTGGGACACCTCTCACAAGGCCCATACGGGAAACATTA